GGATGGATGGGCAGTGGGGGATGGATGGGCAGTGGGGGATGGATATGCAGTGGGGGATGGATGGGCAGTGGGGGATGGATGGGCAGTGGGGGATGGATGGGCAGTGGGGGGGATGGATGGGCAGTGGGGGGATGGATGGGCAGTGGGGGATGGATATGCAGTGGGGGATGGATGGGCAGTGGGGGATGGATGGGCAGTGGGGGATGGATGGGCAGTGGCGGAGAGCCAAGACACCTGAAGCCTGCAAGCAACAAGCTGGAACCACATCTGTCTCCCACCAGAATCCACGTTGGCTCTTCCCTTCTCTAAGCCCTCATCCTCCCTGCTGCAGAAGACCTAAGGAGAAGTTAGTACTCATACCTGGCCCAGGATCTGGAAAAGCTGAAGGCAGAGTTCTGTGGGGCCGAACGGAGGAGCTGCTGCCCACACACCAAAAGTGCAACAGGGCCTGACTGACAGCGACGCCATCAAATACACGTGGATGTTGCTTCACTTCCACTGACAAGTCTCATGCAAATTTCTCTTGTGGCCAACCCTAACCAAAAAGGAACAGGGAAGGGAATTCCAGGAAACATAACTCGACTTAGCCAAAGTTGATAACGTTGCAAAACCGCCACATACCACAAATATTAAATTAACTAGAATTATTTCAAAACACATCAGATTTGCCTATTGTTCTTCTCTGCTTCTACCCAGGAATAAGCAGTCTGTCTACTTTGGACCCAAATCTAAGTTAATATACCATGTGTCGTCTAGTGTCTTTGTAAGAAGGAAAAGAACTGGACGGAGCGCTGGCTGGCAGAGGAGTTCTGCGCGCTGTGCGAGGCCACCTTTCTGCCACATCCAGACCACCAGCTGCTGCGACACAGTTGAGAAAGCTCTGTCCTCGCAGGCTCAGTCTGCATGTCACTTTGTTATGTGTTTCTATTTGTAAAGTGTATTAAGTGCAGTGAGGATAATGCAACGTGATCTCTGAGCTATTCTGACAGCTTGTAGACAACCAGCCTTTCCTTCTTTGAAAGCTACAGGCATGTCTCTGTGTTCAGAGCCAGATTCTGTATACTCCAGGAACTCAAAAAAAGACAATGATGGTTGAGAGCTGAAAAATGCCACTTTCTGTCAGTCTAGGGGAAGGGACTATGAGAATGTCTTTTATTTTTCAACTTTTCTGCCAGTTTAAAGTTAAAAAAAAAAAAAGGGAAGTTAGGGAAAAAGAGTAATTAGAGTAGGTGGGTACCTAGTCTAGCCACATCAGATATTAAAATGTATTGTGAAATTATAATATTAAAACAGTGTGTGGGCTTCCCTGGTGGCGCAGTGGTTGAGAGTCCGCCTCCCGATGCAGGGGACACGGGTTCGTGCCCCGGTCCGGGAAGATCCCACATGCCGCGGAGCGGCTGCGCCCATGAGCCATGGCCGCTGAGCCTGCGCGTCCGGAGCCTGTGCTCCGCAACGGGAGAGGCCACAACAGTGAGAGGCCCGCATACCGCAAAACAAACAAACAAACAAAAAAAAGCAGTGTGAAAAAACGAACAAAACCCAGCATGAAACAGTATGGACAGAAAGATCAATGGATCTGAATACAGTCCAGAACCAGATCCTCGATTACATGGAAATTTAATACATGAAAGGAGCACTGAACACAGTGGGTGGGGGTGGGGGAATGCATTATTCAATAAATGTGGCTGCCTTCCCCTCCGTGACATTTCCTAGAATAACCTTAGCTATTTAACAGGTTTTAAAATTACAGAACATCTTTCTTGATTGTACTCTAATGAAATGCTCTAGGAATGGTTTAAAGCCCCACTAAAATCCTGACCACCAAAGGCATTATAAAGATGAGCTTCTTTCACCAGAGTGGCCCAACAAACTCTAAAGGTCTGGCTCCCCACTCCCAGCTCAGTGCTTCCAATCCCTCCCTGGCTCCCCCAGATGCCTTCACCTCCTCGGGCTGGACGTCTCTACCCGCCTTCCTTCCTGATGGGTAAAGCAGCAGCTCCAGGAGGTGCCCTCTGAAGGAGGCAGATGCTGCCTTGGCCTCTTCCCCTGGCTCTGGTTTCCAGTTCACAGGGAATGAGCAATATTGATATTTTTTGGTCCTTAGAAAATGCTAGAAGCTATTGATTGTTTCCCTGTGTCTAAATTTTTTTAAATTATTTTTTCCATTTAGCTTGGAATGTTCATATTTCTGCTGTCATCCAGTTGTTTTATGCCCTACATTTTATCCCGGGTTCTAAGAACCTTACAAGATAGTGTTCAATCAAAATTCGAGGTTAGAATCAGATAAAGTTTAACTGAGAGATGCTAAACTAAGTGGGATCAATTTTAACCTTACAAATATACCTAAGGCTGTTTGGACACAAAAAACACCCTCTGAGGCTTGGAGGAATCTAGGGAGCCCCGTGGGCCTCAGTGACCTCCCTATATCCCCAGCTCCTGGGCTCCGTTTGCCTGCCTGGATCTGTTCGTACGTTCCACTTCTTTGCTTCTGCAATCTTTTCTTCCATTAGAACGTTTATGATGTGCAACAAGTACTGCACTGAGTACTTTTGTGGTTACTCAAATTGCTTCATTTCCTAATCTCCCATAGAAATTCAGCAGCACTTGGAGTTTTTCCTCTTCAGCCTTTTTGTGTCCCCGGCACAATGCCTGGCCCATCCAGTGGGCTCCGTGGACGCCTGCTGGGTGAGCGCTCTCCGCTCTGCTCCACGAGTCTGCAAAGCTAGTAAAGCAAACGTGGACTAAAACCTGCCTCAAAAACTGGAGTCCTGCCAGCGCTGATGTAATAAGAGGATACCTAAACTGTATCTGCATCAAGGAAACCAGCTATCAGTGGGAGATGAACCCGACCAGGCTGTGGAAAGGGAGTCTTCTGTTTCCGATGACGACACAGGAGGGGCACCCTTAGCTGACACAGGAGCAGTGCCAGGCCAGATAAAGACTTGCTACGATGGAAACACAACACACACACCTGGATTAAATTAGTTCTTTATGTTTACAACCCACAAGACAGCCTACTGAGAAAAATTTCACGAAGGCGTCAAGGACACAGAGCTTCTTAAAATATTTCTCCCCTTCTCTTCATATTTTCAGTCTGCAAGCTAGACTAGATAATATACACTGTCAATTAAAAAAAAAAACTACGCAAAATAAAAATAAGTCCCAAGGCAGAGTTCTGTAAAGAATCCCTAATAGTTGAAACATTGCAACTTCGGTGACCACTGAGAGTAGGTTTGCTGGCTTTGCAGAGGGAGAGCGCGTCAAGGGAAGGGCTGGGGCATCGCAGTCTCCAGGACGGCTGGACTGCTTCCCGTGCCCTCAGGGAGCGTCAACACCCCCAGTGGCCTTCGGTCACCTCCGACGCCTTCGGTTCCAAGCGTCCTGGGGCCCTAGCGGTCCCCCGACCGCAGCCGGTGGGGGGAGGCAGCTACAGCCTGAGCTCGCGGTCAGGCTTCATGCTGAAGGGCTCCAGGCGCTCGGCCTCGGGCAGCAGGCTGTTGAGCCGCTCCAGCAGCGGCACTGTCTGGTCGATGCCCATCTGGATACGGCGCAGGATGGCCGACATCTCGTTGACCTTCTGGATCTGCTCGGCGTATTTGGCGTATCTTTTCTGGCGCTCCTGCATGAAGCTAAAGAGGGTTTCTACAGACAGATCCATCTGCAGGAGGGAGAGAAGTGAGACACATTCAACCCACAGGAAACAAGTCCCGTCACAAGGCTGGGGGATGAGCACGAGGTGCGGAGCCCACAGGCCACGTGGGGGGCGACCAGCTTTGCAGGAAGCGGAATCGCTGGGCATAAAAACCTTCCAGGACACGGCCTGACCGGCTGCTGCCCCAGAACCCTCTGCAGAGGGAGACTGGGATGACGGCCTCCAGCTCTGCCTTCTGGGAACGTGAGCCATCTAGTCCTTGTTGAGACCCTGGGATTTCTAGCTCTCTCTCTCTATAGGAAAGAATCCTGGGCTCAGAAATCAGGCAGACCAAGGTTTGACTCCGGCTCTGCCACTTAAGCTGCTAATATGTATGCTTTCTGTCTCAGGTCTTTCATCTGCAAAAATCAGGGGACGGATGGCAGACTTGCAGGGTTGCTGTGAGGACAAAATGAGATGACGACGTGCTCAGGACTCGGCTTTGTCCTCCCTCCTCCCTGGAGGCTGCAGACCGCAGTCACTCCGGGAGAGCTGCCTGGAGGGGGTGGCACTCCCCGCCAGGACCACAGATGCCAACCAAGTCAAGTCTATATACCATGCGGGGCAGACGGAGGACTGCTTCGGGCACCCTCCCCCCAGTCAAGCAAACTGGAGGCTCTGGGCTCCCCTTCTGTGGCCTCTTTTCCTCCCCTGGCGAGGTTCTTTGGTACCTATCATCTGGATGAAAACAGGAGGAGGAGGGAACCACCAGCGTGTCGGATGCCCGCACCCCTCCTCTGCATGGACCCGCATCCACTCCCTCCCCAGATGTTTCCTTCCGCAACCAGGGAGGAGACAGTCACACCCCAAGACTCATGCTTCTGTCCCAAAGCTCAAATGGCACCTCAACCCTTCCTTCTTGTCCTCCCAGGAGCACGGCCCTTCCCAACCCCGGCACCCAGCCAAGCACTGGCCCTCAACGTGAGTTACCGCAGAGGCTCCGAAAACGGCGTGATAAAGACAAAAACAAAGCAAACACTCTAACATATAAGAGACCCAAGCCCGGGCACCCCCCGAAAACAAAATAACCAATTCTATTTTGACGTTGTGCGTGTGGGGAGAGAGGGACGGTGCTGAGGAGCAGGGGGTTTGTTACAGGAACTCAGGGCTTATTTTTGTCCGTTGGTTCTCCCGTCACTTGTTTTGAAATGCCGAGGGGACAACGAAAGACAGCTGGTGAAGGGCTGGGGTGCGCAGGGAGGAAAATAATCCATCTGAATGGGAAGCTCCAGACAAGGTGGAAACAGTTTCTACCTTCAGAGGGCTCTCTGCAAGCCTGTTCAGGCACTCAGCACTTTGGAGGTGGTGAGGCAGGAAACGATCGTCTTCCTCACAGTCGGCGCCAGCCTTCTCAGGATGGCAATTCAGTCCAGCACCTAGGAACACTCCGCCCTCTGCGAGACTGTGGGAGCCAGCTGGGACCCACTCGTGGGCCAGCACAGCCCATGGAACAGCCTGCACCAGAATTCAGAACCTTCTCGCGTCATCACGTTTCGCTTGGCGGGGGCACTCCCGGCCCCCAGCCCCGGACTCTACCAGACTAGACAGACTCCCGAGTCAGAGTTTATCTGAAATGGCCTCCAAGGCTCTACCTTATCGTGCCTAAGGCCCTTGACAATCAACCCATCCCCTCCCCTACGGCCGGACTGACACCTGATTAGACAGCTTTTACAACCACCTTAGCAAAGTTCTTGTTCAATGGCATACACTTCCTTACACACTTCCACATCCAGCTGAGGCCACGTTTAATGTGTCCAGAGCTTCTGTCCGAAGCCATGTCATGCTGAATGCTTAGGTGAGCACACTGAATTCAAGCACGCTGTTCAAACATGTTTAGAGCATGTCTTCCAAGAGTCAATTCCATGACAGTCCCAGAGGGAAAAAACCACAGAAGAGGAAACTTAGGGTTGAGCGATCTCCAAGATCTCACAGTGACAGAACCAAGACTAAAACCCAGATTTCCTCAGTCCAGCATCTTCCTTTTACTGTATTTAATTGAGAGAGTGTACCATTAGGGGCACACGAGATTTTAGTTGGTACATGGCATGGCATTAAAGAGCATCAAATCACGTGATGGAAAAGTTATTGCCTTTTAAATCTTTTCCCATTCTTTCTGACTGCTGCAAGTAAAGTCTCAATTTGGCGCAGCTAAGACTTTAATACCTGGAAGAGTGTAATAAAATGGGCAATGCCTGCTTCTCATGCCCCGCCCTTTGCTCAGACAATACCGCTCCTGACCCCTACCCCTACCTAAGGATGTGCCCGTGAACCCCAGGTACACACTTACTCCAGCATTTCTGACATGACTTTAGGCAATGTCAGCATCTAATGCAATTCTGAATCTTACCATTTTGACAATCGGGAACATATTCACCTTCCCTGTTTCTATTTTGGCATGTAGACTCTAACAAGGAAGCATAAATACAACATACAGAGTCAACAGACATTTATCGAGTACTACCGTGTGCCATGCACCATGCAAAGTCCTAGCGATATAGATATTAAGAACCAAAACTATTTACACCCACACGGCTTACTGTGTACATTAACATGACTTTTCTTTTCCACTCTCTTTGTTAACATGACTTTACTATTCCAGGAAACTCAGGCCCAGAAGGAGGAATGTTGCAAATAACTTTGTTTCAGGAACTTCCAGAGGAGCCATTTAAATGAAAAAACTATTAGATTTTCCAATAGACAGAGAATGACTATTTATTCCCCGTGACTCTTGCCTCAAAACCCTGGCCTTGCTGTGACCACATGTCTAAGTACTAGTCAGCGGCATGTATATGAGGAAGTCTCTCACGGAGCTTCTGGGCGCCTTCCTAAAAGCTAGCTGGCATGCTCCTCCTCTCCTCCTTTGGCCCTTCCCTCCCTCTGCTGCTGCTGAAATGCAGGTGCAGCCCCCATGGACCACGAGAATAACTAAGCTCATAATCTGTGGGTCGGCAGAGCAGTGAACTAGAAGTCTGGGTCAATGAGGCTTTTCCCCCATGAGAGTCGTACCAGGTGTGGGAGAGAACAACAAATTTCCATTTTGACTGTATGGCCCAGGAAACTCTGTTCAATACTCTGTAATGACCTATATGGAAAAAGAACCTAAAAAAGAGTGAATATATGTATATGTATAACTGATTCACTTTGCTGTACAGCAGAAACACAACACTGTAAATCAACTAGACTCCAATAAAAATTAATTTAAAAGAAACAAACAAGGTAGAGACTTCCCCTGGTGGAGCAGTGGTTAAGACTCTGCACTCCCAATGCAGGGGGCCTGGGTTCAATCCCTGGTCAGGGAACTAGATCCCACATGCATGCTGCAACTAAGAGTTCGCATGCCTCAACTAAGGAGCCCGTGAGCCTCAATTAAGAAGCCCGCCTGCCACAACTAAGACCCGGTGCAACCAACTAACTAACTAAATAAATAAATATTTTTTTAAAAAAAAAATTTCCATTCTGTATAAGCCACCATAATTCTGGGTCTCTGTAACACCAGTTCGATTTAATCTTACACTGACAGAATGAATGTGATAAAGTCCCTGCCCTAAGGAACTCACTGTTTACTCTTAAACTCATACTTCAAACCTTGCTCCACATATTCATATACTATCTCTGGTGGCAGTACCTTTCAAAGGGCAGGTGAAAAAGGAGGTGAGATTATTTGTGGGTTTAAGTGCAGGCTTTACTATGACATTAGACATCTATAGAAGGGGCTCAAAGTCATTCTAAATACCTTATGTGGATGGGGCATCCTATTTGCCCACCTGGTCGGTCAACTGCCAGCAATGGATCCAAAATATTAGCAAATCAAATCCAGAAATATACAAAAAGGATAGTATATCATTACCAAGTGGGGTTTATCTCAAGGATGTAAGCTTTTTCAGCATCTGAAAATCAAAGTAATTTGTCACTTCAATATAATAAAGGTTAAAAATCATATAATCATTTCAACAGACACAGAAAAAGCATTCAACAAATTATGAAAATTTCAGCAAATTAGGAACAGAAGGAAACTTCTTCAGTCTGATAAAGGGCATCTGTGAAAACCCAACAGCTAACATCACAGCTAGTGGTGAAAGACACTTTTCTCCCTAAGATCAGGAATAAGGCAGGATGTCCATTCTCACCACTTCTATTCAAAGTTGTACTAGAGGTCCTAGCCACTGCAATAAGTCAACCAAAGGAAATAAAAGGCACAGGAACTGGAGAGGAATAAATAAAAGGGTCTTAATCTGCAGATGACATGGTGTACCTAGAAAATCTTAAGGAAGCTTAGAACCAAAAACTAATAAAACCATCAAGTGAATTTAGCAGGGTTGCAAGATACACGGTCAACATACAAATATCAATTGTATTTCTATATATTTGCAATGAACTGGACAATGGAATAAAAAATACAAAATTTACAACTGCATCAACATAAAAAACTTAGAGAAAATGTCACAAAATATGTATAAGACCTACACACTGATATTACAAAACCCTGCAATGAAAAATTAAAGGAGATCTCGAAAATGGAGAGGTATACCATGTTCACGGATTGGAAGATTCAACATCATTAAGATGTCAGTTCTTGCCAAATCGATTTATAGATTCATTTGCAATCTGAATCAAAATTCTAGATGGCTTTTTTTGGTAGGGATTTGACAAGCTGATTCTAAGTAAACAGAATTGTCAAAAGAATTTTGAAAAAGAACAAAGTCTGAAGACTTATAGTAATTCTTTCAAGACTTAATTTAAAGCTACAGAGTGGAGTCAAGATGGTGGTATGGGAAGATGCAGAGTTAGCATCTCCCCACAACTAGGGCACCTGTCAGCTGCTGGTGAGGGACTCTGAGGCCCAGGGGATAGGAGGAACCCCAAAGTGAACCGGTAGGACATAGAGGGACTGAGGCGGGAGGAGAAGTGGAGGCCAGACAGGATCAGTGACCCTGAGACCAGGGAGATCAGGAGAGGCAGGTGGGAGG